AAAAGGCTGTAAAATACTACAGTAAAATTATTATTTATTTATTGATAAAAATTCGTAAGTGTTTTTAAACTAATATATGAATTAATTATCAAATTTTGAATTTCCGTTCTGCCACCATGCGGCCTTCCGCGTACCAATATGTAGTCTTTCGAGTACCACTAGTGGTACTACAGTTTGAGAATCTCTGATCTAGATAATGCACAACATTGGTTAGCGACCATTACACTGTTGCACTGTTTATCGGTTTTGTTACGTTTTCCCCCGTATTGTATACAGCATACAGCTGTAGTAACTATTACCAGTGGCGTATACGGGGGGGGGGGCTTTGGGTGATTAACTCCCCCATTGTCTTTTCAAATATAATAAATGTATTATTTATATTATTGTATATTTATAATATTACAGCCGGAAGATGTTTAGAATAAATTATCTATAAAAACAAGAAAAATACGTTAGATACATGGTTAATATTATAAGTTATGTTCATAATATTATTTGTATTTATGTATTTTTATGTATAATTCTATAAACAAATAAAAAATAAATAATCTTTATATTGAGGTGTTTATAACATATAATTATAATATTGTATATTCACAAGTTTACAACTGAACTTTGTTCTTGAATAATTTAATTGAGTAACAAATCTAACGGAAACTAAAAAAAAACTAAGTTAAATTTAAACTTAACCCCCCCCCCCCCCCCCCCCCCCCTCATTGCAAAATCCTGATTACGCTACTGCCATAACACTAGTGGTCTTTAACCGGTGTGTCGCGTTAACTTAAAGATCGGGTCACGATATAAGTTTTTTGTTTAAAATTTCAAATGATAGAGTTTGATAGCATTTGATAGAGTTTGGCACCCCGGTCTTCTACACAAATTAAAAAAAATTCTACCACCATCCTAAAATATCTTTTTTAAGTCATATCTTGAAAACAGGTTTTTTGCCACCAAAGTTGGTTCTGAAATTTCAAACTTGGTCCCAATCCTAGCTGGTGTTCCCATCTCTTCCTCAATACTATTCAACATATACACAGCCGATCAATCAACCACCTCTCATACTTCGGTAGCCGACATCGCTGACGAAAAAATTATATACATTTCAGAAAAAAATCCACACCTTGCTAGACAATACCTACAAAATCATCTAAACTTACTAGCAGACTGGTATTCCAAATGGAAAATAAAAATATATAATGGAAAATCATCTCACATCACCTTCACTCATAAACAAAGCACAGTACCCCAGTCTACTTAAACAGTAGTCATTCCCTCTTCCTCTAACGTTAAGTATATGGGTATGACACTAGATAAAAGACTTACCTGGGCCACACATATTAAACAAAAAACGGCTCATACTAAATGCCAGACGAAGAGCTCTCTTTCCACTTATAGGGAAACAATCAAAAATTAACCTTAATACAAAACTGCTACTATACAGAACCCTCCTCAAACTAATTTGGTTATATGGTATCCAACTATGGGGATCAACAAAAAAATCAAATATTTATAAAATCCAAACATTCCAATCTACCTCGCTACGCATGATTACATGCGCCCCTCCGTATGTTTCAAATCATACCTTACATTCAGACTTAAAAATACTCACTGTCAAAGAAGAAGCCAAAAACTCCTACATACTTTTTCGTTCCCGTCTTGTAAACTACTCTAATCCCCTAATCCTGGCTCTAAACTCTGAGTCCATTCCTGGGAACCCACCTAGAAGGTTAAAGCGTAGCTGGAACCGTGACCTAAAATAATTCTAACCCTTCTGCCAGTAAGTGTTGCCACTGGGTGATAACTTTATCATATCAATCATGTCATTAAACGTAAATCCTCAAACATGCTTATTGTAAAATGTATTTATAGATTGTATGTGTTAAGAATAAAAGTTTGTAATAAAAGTAAAAAAAAAAAAAAAATTCAAAAGTTCATAATCGTATATATTATATTATGTATGTCATATCGGATAAAATAATTTTTGAATAAACCCGAAATCCTACTATATTAAATATATAAAAAAAAAAGAGAAGAGTCTCAACCAATATGCGATACATCCCACAAAGCATTAACAAGTGTTTCTTCGGATTAAAGACAATATTAAAATCTAAATTAGTTTCAATGAGATATAATCTAACTTTATACAAAGTAATGATGCGAAAAATAGTGATATATGCGTGTGAAACCTGGGCCACAACGAAAACAGACGATCAAAACCTATCAAGATTTGAGAAAAAGGGTGTTACGACATATTTTTGGCCTCAGAAGAAACCAAAACACGGGCGTATATGATTGAAGAAAGAATAAAGAGGTAATAAGCATGCTAGAAGATTCAGATATAATAGCTACTATGGAAAGCAAAAGGATAAGCTGGGCAGGGCATGTATGACGAGGTCGAGAACAGACAATCGGTCAGGTGGCCTGCTGGAAACAGAAGAGTAAAAGACCACTCGGCCGTCCAAGACAAAGATGGATAGACAGGATCCATAAAGTTTTGGATATGCTAGAAATCCTGAACGGTGAAGAACTAGCCACGGATGGAGACAAATGGAGCGAAGGACCTGAATGGTCTATATTAAGCGAGAGAAAAAAATATTGTTACCTACTCAATTTTTAATATATAACTAATCATAGTGAAACTAAAATATAATTTTATTACAATATGTAAATATTAATAAATATTAATAATATATCATAAAAAAAAAATCTGGTTGAAGAGGAAACCCTTTAAATCCTCCCTCCACCGTAACAAAGCCGGTGTTGTACACAACATACGTCAATACGCACCGACCTGAACATGCCATCCAACACAGTAGCACTAGACGAAAGCAAAACTCTGAAAAATATCCCATTCTCAAGCATCAATGGGTTATATAACATTTAATCTTAGGTTTGGATTTATTGCATTTTAATTGTTTTCCTGGGTGACTAATACAATTTTTAAAAATGTAAACGGTTGTTGGACAGTACGATTTACACAAAATGTAAACAATCATATTAAATTTAATGTAAAGTATGTTCATTAATTGTAATTAAATGTAAATATTACAATTTTCAAATTGAAGCAAGAATATAAAGTTTATTTTTTTTTTTCTAAAAATTTGATTTTAATTATTACTAAGTGTTTGTAGTGTAATTGTGAATTAATATTATAGTTATTCAACAATCATTCATCTGATTAAAAAAAAAAAAAAATATAAGAATAAAGTAATTAAACAGTGAAAATAAAACAAAACTTTTACTATTCAAATTGAAGAAAATAATTAAATATTTTATAAACAGATTGAAATTTATACTTCGTTTTTATTATAATTCAAATAATAAATCTTTGAATGATAATAAACATAGTATGTGAATACATTATTATTAATAAATCTCTTTAAGTAGCTTATAGTTTTTTCTGTCAACATTGATCGTTTAAGAAATTCAAATTATTTTTAATTATTATTTTTGGTTTAGTATATCTTATTTTAGCTACAACAGAAAAAGAAAAGTTGATTTTATTGTTTAGTTGATAATACATTTAATTACAATATTTAAAAATGAATAGTTTATCGATTCATTCAATCGAATTCGTTTAGTATAAAATGTTAAAGTTTTCCAATAATTTGAAACTGTTCTACCAATCTTTATTGTAATAAAATATTGATTAATTTTTGCATAAATATTAATGATTGTGTTGATAATTATTCATTATTTCAGCAATCGTTAAGTTATAGTTTTTGTAAATTGTTACGAACCTTCGTAACAATTCAGTACCTACTGAGTATGCATTGGATAAATTTAATTTTAAGACATACTGTGCTCCCGTTATTACCTCTAAATTCTAAAGGATTTTAAGTGGATATAGTTATTATTTTGCATTGGTAAATGTAATCAAAAAAATTGACGAAAAATTTTGGTCCAACAAAAACAAAGATATTCGTGATAAATAAAAATAAAACACTAACTGCTTTTAGGAAGATTCGAAATGTAAAACAATACGCAATTCATCATGAAAATAACAACTAAATTTTTTTAAGAGTGCCTCTTTCAAGCTCAGATATTCATTATAAATGCTTAAAAATTCACACAAACATTTACAATTGTGTTAAATTTGTATTTTTTTAGTCATAATATAGCCATACTAGGAGAATAATGTAAAAATTATATTCTAATAAAGAATTGTGTTTGAAATATTATGCGAAATTTATTGAAATGGAAACTTAAAAAATATACTTTATTCGAATATCTGGTCGAAGAGCAAAGTACTTTCTATAATCACCCCTTAAAATTAGGTACCTTAATATTATGTATCGAACTCAATTTTTTCCCAAGGTCAACTTTTTATTAAATTTTATTTCTTATAAAAATAAATCATGTTTGAAAAGTTGGATGGCTGTTTGAATTTGGAGACTCATCAAATGATGAGTACAACTAAAATAACTTAGAGCCTAGTTTATTAAGATCATATTAACTAAAAAGTTACATAATAAGTTATAAATATTGTATGTATTTATTCTGATAACTTAAATTGGGGGATTATCAAAACTATGTTACTGTCATATAACTTTCTACTATAGCATTATAACATTTATAATCATATAATTGTGGCATTGTAACTTTGAGAAGTTTTGTTATTTTAAACTGTAATTAGAATATCAAATATACATTTATTTCAATTGCACAATCATAATTTATAGTTCCGGTTAATTAATAGATCAATGATTTATTATAGTGATTAGAGTATCCTTTTGACCAGTCTATTTTCATTTTTCTTTTTAAATAAAATGTTTATAATATCCGCGTCAATAAAAATCACGAGTTCTTGTGTTAGTCGAATAATTGTATTATTAATTTAAAAGTTATAAATATTATATTTATAGAAGGAATAATTAGGAATTGAAAAAAAAATGTATATTCTTCCAAACGTTTGGAAATTTAAATTGCATAACTACCTATATATTTTGTAACTTTCATGACTATTATAGAAGTGTACAGCAATAATAATTTAAAAGTTATACTATCAAAATCTCAATTATCAATTTATTGAAATATCCATTGGCAATTTCTTGGTTGTAAACAATTGGTTGAAAAACGGAAAACTTCTTTTTTTCGAACGTGGTCTCGATTCATCATTGAAATCCACTGCATAAATTCCAAATTTCTTCCTGCAATATAAATTAACACCTTTCAATTTATTGCATAAAATTATAAGTTTTATATCTTTTAGGATATCAATTAGTATAATTTTATATAGGAAATTGTAATATTTCGATGTTCTTACCAATAACCAAAACAAAATTCTAAACCGTCTATAAATGACCAAACACAGTATCCAAACACATTTATATTTTCATCCAGAGCTTCAAGTAATTTAGTTAAGATCCCCTAAAAAATTAGACTCAATTTCAAAATAATCAAAATAGATAAAACATATTCTATAATTCTTGTTAAATTGATAATATATATTTTAATGATACTTTTTTGAAAACGTTGAAGAGTTCTTACTTGGTGATAAGCAATTTTTTTTTCGCTGTCATCTATATCTTGTTCCTCGGGAAAACCATTTTCACCTATGATAATCCTTGGATTATTCATATTTTCCTTAGTCCATCTCAAGCAATTCAAAAAGCCTTCGTAAACCTCAAATAAAAACATAAAATATAAGATAAGGATTAGATATACATAGATAAAATAAATAATAATATCATAAACAAATTATTGCTTTCATACATCAGTTGGTGTTATGCTGTCAACATCTATGTAATATCCTCGATCCCTTCTCTTACGATTGGGTTCTGTGTCTCGTTCCTCAGAGGTCATTGGTCGAACTTTTACGCTGGAGAAATAGTTGACCATTACAAAATCAAACGAACCTGTTGCAATCAATTGTGTTTAAATAAATTATAATGATCAACTGGATTTCCATTGGGAATATTCTAACTATAGAAACTTTTAACCATCAAGAAAATCTAAAAACTCGAATTTTAAATATATTAGGTATCCAATTTCAAACCTTAAGAATATTATCACATAGAGAAAAAACGTCTTTCAGTTTATGATTAATATTTTTTATATATTAGAGATTAATATTTTTATGATTATATCTTATATCAGATTAGGTTAATTATAAAAGTACATAACCGTTCGATAAATAAATAATTAAGATATTTGTTTATAGTAAATTATTATAGAAATCTTTTTTATTGGTAGCTTAAATTTTTAAATATTGATTTCTAAATTAAATTGATGATCAACACTTCTTGGTGCGTTACCGAGATCGTGTTATAATTCGAGATGTGAGAGAATAGAACAGCTTAGGTATTTTGAGGATTGATGGAAGAAAAGGCACTATGAAAGGGGTCTATCACGGTGTATAGGAATGTTATTATAAGTAACTTTAAAGTATGTTATGAACTTAAATAGCCGAAGTTAACACATTCTATTTATACAATGTATTTCGAATTTATGAACCATTTTATGGTATATTTTTATAGTATATGTATATTTGTATTAAATTTCAAATTTTCCGCGTATTATTCGAATTGTCTGGAGTGCCTGATATTGATATTTTTATCTACTTTCTGTACCGGTCACGTTACAGTCAAGGCTACAATTTCGTGAAACGCATTATGTTTTCGTCCTTAACATTAAAAAACAATCATTGGAATTATAATTTTGGATCTTTTTATTTTAATATGATTCGTGTATGTTTAAAACATTCCAAAATCGGATTTTTACTCACCTTTAATTAATTCTTGTTCTTGCGCTGTAAATTGTTTAATACGATCAACCCGTATTCCTTCCCGTTCGTTAGTCGCCTTGACGCTCTCCAACATCTCGTTCGAGTATTGACCGGTAATGTAGACATCCATAAGAGCACCAAACTAATAATAATATTAAAAATGATACTAATGAATTACATAGAAGTGTATTAGAATTTACCGTTAATTTTCGTGCACGTTCAGCGCACTTTTGATGTTCCGGATTGTTTGGATCTTGTGGATAAAACCACATTGTGTCAACGCAGTAACCTAGTTGCCCTAAGACAGTAGTAGTATACTAACATTAATAAATTATCGTTAAATCGAATAAAATAATTTTTTATCATCAGCTTCATTCGCCATTTTATATCAATGTAATACGAAATCAATCACCTTTTTGTTTTTCTTTGAAATCTGTGTTGTACATTTTATATATTTTAGCCATTGAAACTATACAGTTATGTATTGTTTTATAATCGGAATATCCGCTGAATGAATTTTCTTTGTAGCCAGGAGGGATATGTTCGGAACTGTATCCTTCAGCGGAAAACCAAATGTCAGAAGACACTACCCAATGTTTCACCTATTGTTTCACAAGTTATATCGACAGATTGTATTAATTTATGACAAATCTTAAATATTACTACTTTGTTAATGGCAATTTATCTTACTCGGTCCCCAAAAGATTCAAAGCAAAGTCTGGCGTAATTTTCGAAGAACGTGTACAATGTATGATTGGTCAGCCCTCCTAAAATGATATAATTTGATCCCATGTCGTAATGGTGCAGATTAACCTGAAATCAATGGTTTATATTTACCAGGGTATTGATAAAGGGATCTCGAAACTACGGGGCAGATATACTACAATGTAGTCAATACATGATGGACGGCAAATGGGCCAAATAAATATTAGTTCATAAAAAAAAAAAAACCTACCGATACAAAAAAAAATTCATATATTTATAATATAAATGTTAAACAAAATATGTATTAAGTACATTCCAAATATAATTTTACAGTAGTAGGTAATAATAATAATAATTATTAACAATTATTGTTATCGTTAGTGATGATTGGTTTTTGATATTTTGTTTTGTCTACCGTTTCATTAGCTTACACAGATAAATACAGACGAAATCAGAACATAAATTAAAATATAAACATGAATAAAATACATTTTTTTGTCGGTTCATTAATTGTCGTTTAGTATTTATTGTAATAAAATAATTATTTGATCATAGATATATGACAATATATCCACCAACAAGCTGTGTTATAATTTAAAAAACGATCATATATGTTATATGTAGTTCTAATGAGAATAAAGTTGAACAGTATTATTATGTCAACAACTTACACTCAACTGCGAGTTCAAAAATGTATTATCTAATTAAAATAAATAATATATTTTATATATTATTCAATTTTTCTTCATATTTATAATATCAACAATCACGTCAGTAGGTAAAATACCGAAGAAAAAAAATTCAGTAAAAAACGATAGTAATTACCACTGGTGTTATTCCGTTTTCCAATAATTTGTCAATTAGACTATTGTAATATTTTATTCCAGCATGTCCCGGTAAGTGGTCGTACACTTCCGGAATAATTCTTGTTTGAGCAATGGTAAAGCGGTAAACTTTAACCTGAAAATGTAGTTCCAATTAATATTATTCTGTTATTCTCATTGAGATGGTTCCTTGAGTAGGTTCGGTACTAACACCCAATTCTTTGAGTAGTTGGACGTCGACGTCTGTTTTGTGGTACGAGTCCGCAGCTATATCTCCGTTGAAATTGAATTGTGCTTCGTCTTCCACAGCGCTCGACGGTACTTCGTATATGGCCATCCCTTTGTACATATCTACTAATCTCGGTTCGATGTCCTTCTGCTTAAGATTTTCGAAAACATGCTCTGGCATGTTTAAAAAGTATCTGAACTTCAGTTTTGCCTGATTTTTATGGAAATAATCATCCCAGATAGTCGGTGGTTTGCCTGAAATAAAGGTTATATTTATTTATATTAAATGTAATAATTTAAACGAAAAGGAATTCAATACCAGTGATTCAATATATTTTTGATATTTAAATAAATGTATTTATAAGAAACAACACAAATAAATTAGAATTATACTTCATTTTAAACGTAATATATTTGAAGCATTCCATAGAACAAAAGCATTTTCGTAATCTATTGTATTGAAATATAATTTATATTTGGATTCCAAAAAATGTAGTGTTTCATATTAAAAACAAAAATTATTTACTTAAAATAATGTAATTATGGTTTTCATATTTTTGAACTATAGGCAGGGTCCAAATTTTGGATCCCTAACTAATTTCATAAAAATGCATTTATGTTTTAAAAACACAAATAATTTTCTATTGAATGTTTTATGTTAATGATCAAAACACTTTAAATATATTATAAAACTATTAAAGTTAACAATATTATTTATTTATTTTTAAATTCAAATTTTGATTCAAGTTTGAACTTGAATATTGTTTTGAATTCAAAAAAACAATTTTAGAATCCATATGGATTTATTTTTCTCTGGGTCATATTATTATGATATTATCAATTTAATAAAGGGTCATATAATAAACTTTCAATTTTTTCCTCGATTTTTATAAAATGCAAAAAATGAAATTTTAAATCAATAATATTATCGGAAAACTTAATATTACCAATTATTAAAAAATATAAAATAACAAGAAGTTATAACGATTTCTATGTGGTTGAGTCTCATTTAAAGCTTGAAGAACATCGTCAAATCTGATTTTCTAATAGATTATACAAAAGTCATAAAAATCATAAAAATCTGAGCCTTAGATATACATACAATTTAAAATATTTGTTATATATTCTAAGTATAGGAATAAAAAGGTGTGTATCTTATAAATATATATATCGTGTAAACACAGTATAACTATTTATTTTCACTTTATCTACATTTTGCTGTTTATTTATAAATTGTAAGTATTCGTAAATACCAACTAGAAAATCTTTCCAATCATTCAATTTTTATTTGGTTTTGACTGGAGTAGTTCTTCTGATATCATCTTGAATACAGGCACATACGAAAAAGAATAAAAATAAACATGGTAAATCTAATTCCAATTCCTGTTTCTCATAAAATCTAAATATTTATTCCTATTTAATATTAATTTATATGAGTTATTGAATGCAGAATTTGGTATATTTTCGTACATTTTCCTAGCATATCCTCAATGAAATCTCTATTAGCCAAATATTTAGTATTTAATTTATATGAATTGGTATGTCCGTTCGTCATGATTTTATGAATTTAGTTTTTGCAACGGTAACCTCCTCCGGATAGAAACAATAGTGTTAGTATAATTTAAAATTATTTAATCATACAATATTAAAGCAACACGTTATACTTACCCTCGTTCCAAGCTCCTTCGACTTGATATGCTCCGGTTGATGCGCCGAACAAAAAGCTTTCCGGAAACTGTCCTGTCGATGCGAAACACGGAGCTGAAATATTTTAAATATTTCGCGTTGAATACTTTCTAAATACGCAATTGACAGTAACAAAAATAATTAAAATTATAACTGTCTTACCATTATCCTTTGTTGTCATTTTAAGGGGTTGGATTACTTATGAAAATAATGTTTGAGTTTTTACGAAATAATATTAACTGTTAAACAACTGATCGCGTGAACAATGGAGAAGAACTATTTGCAATATTCCGTCAAGTAGTTCAGTTGCCATATTTATATGAAATAAATAAGCGAGTTTAATTGTATGACTAATAATTAATATCGGAGGTTTAGATAAAATAATACGTTGATGATTTATTTCAAATTTAAAAACTTTGCTGATTAATCTTGAAATAATTTATGGCAATAAATTTCCTTTTGGGTTCAAAAAAACTCATTTATTAAACTTATTTTATTATTAATTATCAGAACTAGTAATATTGATTGGTAATTGCATAATAAATTATTTTCGAAGAAACATTCCGTGATGACCTGTTTTTTTTTTATACATCACAGATAATGAATGAAATATCATTTTTGTCTAGGACTGTACTGATTAATACAATCTTAAGATATTTAAATTAAATTACAATAATAATTTAGTTAATGATATCAGTTTCTTGCGGACAGTCTGTACCCCTACATTTTCGAGCTTCCGTGATGTTTAAATTGGTGTTGTTTAAATCAGGGTTAAAACGTACAATACAGTATAGTATAAAACATAATTATCGTTGTTGGTGAATTGCGGCCCATACAATAATCTATATATGTTATTACATATATAATATATAGTATACATAGTACATCTATATAAACATCACAATATAAATTTATTAATACTCCGTATTTTCTAGTATTGTCGTATATTATTAATATTTGTAATTTCAATAATATAAATAAAAAAAAATTATTCGTAAATTAATAATGCCGTATAGTAATTTCATTTTTTAGCTATTATTTTGGTTAAAATAATAATAATAAAAAGAAAATATATGAAAAATAAGCTAATAAATATAATAATATTTTGCCTTTCTTGAATATAATATATAATGATAAATATAAATTAAAATATAAATATTCTACTGTTTTGGCAAAAACTTATAACTTAACTATTTAACTAATTCAAAATTATCTATTTCTCTTAGCTCTAGTTTTGTCATCTGTTCTCTAATGATAGCATTTTTTTCACACATTTTTTTTGTTCTTACACTTTTAATTCTGAATTGTATGTATGTTTCAGACTGAACTTCTAGTAACACGTCAACGAAGTTATAAATGTGATTGCTAGTGTAGTACGACATATTTGGTTTTGAATGAAAACTTTCACAGCTGTTAGTAGTACGGTTACAGCTAGCAGTAAATTGTGCTTAATTATTTAGGGGGGAATATAGCGTCTGGAGATATATAGTTTTCAAAAATTTAGTCTATAAATTTCACAATTTGGTCATTTTCAGCAGGCTGTATTGCTAAAAAGTCGTCAGTCAAGCAATTAATGATGTTTTCAGGCTCCAAAAAATGGTAATCCAAAAGAATATTTTAAATAATGACTATCATCTGTGTTACCATTGTATAGTTTAGTAAGTCCTAAACTTTGGATTTTCCTCCACTAACTTTGTCCCAAATGAATTCCGAGCGTATAAATTTAGACGGTTTGCAAGAAATGTCAACTAAAGCTTTTCTTTTCAGAGAATTACCTACTTATAATTTGCCTGTTTAAGAATTTTTCGTCATGTTTTCTATGTTCGTGATTGGTATTACTTTCAACTATTATATTTGAAGGTGATCATTTAATAATGTACTTACAATTTTTGAAACAGTAAAGCCACTGCTATACATCATCTTTTAGTATGTTATGAAAACGGAATTTGTAGCCATCGTATATAATAAGTAGCTTCGATTTTTCAATATATATAAATTCCATGACGAAATATTCAAATACGTTCAATTAATAATAATAATAATTATACTAACTATTATACAACACTTATACGAACAAAGATTGATTTCGGACTAAATACGATTTTCATTTTACCATTTCAAATTAACCGATTATCATAGTTAATGAAAGTCATATGGCAGAAAATACAATAAAACGATCTATATTATCTTTATTATATTATATAAAGATATTACTTGCCATACGTATCGAACAATTCGTTTACCGTTATTCGTTTATCACTAAATGTATAGCCAACATCGTATCATACATATTAGTTACTAGCCATTAGGTACATAGGTAATGATAATTATTCGGGCCGCAACTCACCTATACCTAAGATATTGTCGGGCTGCAACTAATCTACGGCTAAAATATTATCGGGCCGGAATTCACCGGTCTCCAACATCGGAAACAACACGTCGGGCCGGAACTCACCTACAACCATAATTATATACGTTTTTTACCGTATAAATATAAAATCTCTTTCGAACAATAATATATTTTTAATTTAAACTAAAAATAAATAATGAAAGTATAAATTATAAATAGACGATTGGCTATTAATCTGTTATTAATAATTATCATTATATTATCGTGGACGTATTAATGTATAAAAAAATCATTGAACATGTGATATTTATAATATTTTTAATATTTTTATATAAATAGAATTTACACGAAAAATGTAATTATTTAATAATTGATTTTTGTATTTTAGTTTAAATACTTGTGCAAAGGTTATTTTTATTTATTTATTATTTAATAAAAGATAGAGGTATCAAAGAAAACTAAAAATTACTTTTAATTAATATGTACACATAAATCAATATTCCAAATAATTGACTGGACAACATTCAATTTTTGCTTAAGAATATGAATATAATAATATACGTTTCAGTAAATTTTTATTTAGATGGATAATTAAAGAATTAAAAATGATAATTGTAAACAAATTTTTTTTTTTTATAATTTATATAACACATATAATTTTACCAAATACGGTACATAATATATTTTTACTAATTATAAAAATTTAAAACAGAGCTTTGCACCCGAATTAACCCGAACCCGTAACACCCCTAAAAACCCTTAAAAAATCAAACACCGAAAACCCACATAACCCAAATGATTTTTTTTTAAAACATCCAAATTAACCAAAACCCAAATAATTTTTTATTTTACAATTTTTATGTGACATATCATTTTGTATGTATTTTTTGTAGTAATTTCAATTTTGTCATTAGTTATTTAATAGTAAAATTATTATTTACAAGAATAATTTCAAAAATAATATACAAAATTGTTAATTAATCTAAATGTATCTAAATAAAGTTAATAGCAATATACCATATTGACAGGTGTACATGATGGTATGGTATGTTGAATGTTCAAGTGTAAAAAACTGGGATACTATTTTTAAAATTATCCCAAGCGGATACGTTGTATTATTATAATATAATAGGTAATAGGTGTTCTACGAATAACCTAGTCGTAATTTATTGCAATACTGTAAGTCGGAAATAGAATTGATATCTCTCGTATGATTTCCTAAATTGTTGTTCGCATTATTCGTATTTGTTCAGTGAATGGCGTGTACTACATATGTCTATGGCGTGAATTGTCAATTTCTGTTGGTGTAATAATTTCATTGAAACATACATAAGTACAAATTATTATTATTATTATTATTATTATTATATTATGCTATGTTCAAGCTAGGGCGTTTTTAGTGTGTGCACGCACCACAAACCATAAGCGGAAATTTGGTGAAATTAATATAATAAATATAATAATGAACACGAAATCTTATAGTGTGATCAAACGAAATCATGTGGTGCTCAATATTTCGGGCACGTCCTCGAGAAGGATTAACTCGACTCTTCCCTACGAAATATTAAGCGCATTGTTCGCGGTTCACCGGCATCAATATTTATCACGATGTCAGAAATAATTTTTTCGTTTCGAATCATTGAACTTAACAAATTACGTTGTACAGAAAATTTGATAATTCTACGTTTGATTAAAATCACTTTTTGAACTCCATAATCGAGTAAATAAACAAAATATGCAATATCCTAATTCATAGAAATAAAGTTCATTAAAAATGGATGCACTGTCGTTATATAAGACTGTTTGGTTAACAATATTAGTAAAAGTATTAAAATTGATCCTCCAGTAAATAGTGGAAATTGCTAATGAGTGTTAATTCAAATTCAATGTGCCATCAGAATAAAAAGCTTTTCGACATTTCAACTACAGGTAATATAAAAAATCTATAGAGATCAACAAAATTAAAATTTTTATCAAATTTGTTTTTCGCCGAACTCATTTATTTCATCCAACCATTGTTATTCACCTCGTTCGCCGCTTTGACATCGAATATTAATAGCTCAACGTCGATATAGATGAACCGAATATAATTTGTGTAAAATGCATAATATAATATATTTGTCATTTATTTGATAATGGTATAAGACCATTATGTTATCTATGATTTGCTTTAAAATGCATAGAACTACCGAAGTGCCGAATTCCATCAAGCAAATTTTAAAAATGAAAAATATATAAATTTGAGTAGATTAAAATACAATAGTAAATTATGAAAATGCATAATAATCTTTTACGCATTCTATACAATTAAAAGAGAAAACTTTTTTTTTTAATTCAATCGAATTGAGTCTATTTGACTCATTCAATAGTTACCCTGTCCATGGAAATAATATAATAATCTTATGATAAAATTATATTGTTTTTGTTTTTGTGGTACAACGAATAAATTTGTTCATTATAATTTATTCATTTTATTTTTTTATAAACTATTTAAGCAGAATTTTAGGTTTCCAAATAAAATTGTTTTATTTAGCTTAAAATTTTTTTTTCACTTATTTATTTACTAGTAATCCAACACGTGATCCATAATATTAGTATTAAAATGCAATTTAATAGGTGAACGATGGTAAATTATTGTACAGGGAGTGGCCTTCATAAATATGTTCGCGATCCACACAAACAAATAAAATAATAATACGAGTCAAAATGTTTATAAATATTTTTTACAATTTTATCCATAAAAAATTAAAATCCATAATAATAGCAGTATAAAAAGTAAATTTACATTCTATAAATAAAACATGAACCACATCTGACAATAATAAGCCACATGTGACTCACAAGCCGCAAGTTGGCCACCCCTGTTATAGTATATTCACTACATAAGAATTAGCATATTTTTTACTGCTAATAGTAACTACTTCTTTAAACAAAAAAACTGTAACTGAAC